AACCCAACCCAATGGGGCACCCAACAACAATACTGACATCTTACCCAGTCAACATCAACCAGTCTACCACAAACATCATTAACACTACAAACCCCACATAATCCCAACTATCAGACACCCCAACAACAAATGCCTATTTCCAGGCCACAATAATTTACCTCCCAAGATTGTTACCAACCCTTAATAAATAGCTCAATGTCTTCTAATCCCATGCCAAATTAGAATTTGGAGGGAACCAGATTAAGTTATGGCAGTACAGCCGAGATAGACTATACCAATGAGGACATGATTGAGGAATTTTTAATGGGCGGGTGTGACGCGGGACCTTCAACTCAACCACAAAATGAAGAAGGAAATCGCAGAACAGGCCAACGTACTAGACGAGCACCTGTTTGTGGAACTCATCAATGATTGACACGACCCGGTCAAAATCGACAGTAGATGTATCTTCTCTATTGAATCTTTGTTTAATTATAGTGGAATTATATAATTTAAAATGAAAAAAAAAATTAATTTAAGTAAATTAGTGAAATTTTTGTTTATTTATAGTATATTTTGTTTAATTATAGTGTATTTTGTTTAATTATAATGTATTTTATTTAATTATAACAATTTAATTTAGAAAATAAAAAAAATTACGTTTACACTCTTCCGTCCATCCAATGGACGGACTCTCTCTAATATTTAAAGCTTTCGCCCAATACTTCAGTGGAATGGAAAAAAAATTCACTGCTCCGTCCATTCAATTGGCGAATGTGTTGTGGCAAAAAAAAATTGTTTGAAAAGAGGATAGATTGAAATTATTGAATGAAGAAGATGATATATTAGGATTTAGTGTGTAAAAAAGGTGTACGACAGTAAGAAATTTTTGATATCATAACACATGACGAATGTATAATATAATGATCCTACTTTTACGAAGTTAGGTGATTAAACTTGACACACTATTTTTTGGCTGACTAAGATATATACCTCACACTTTTTCAAACCACCAAACTCTATCCCTTCCCAACATTCAATTTTGATAGTAAGATTAAAACCCTAAAGCCAAAGCCAAATCCAACAAATATAAATGGATGGTAATTTCAATTTCAAACATTCAAAAGTAAAAAAGGTGAAGTAAATGGATGGATACAATAATAAGAAAGAATATTGGACCACATAAATGGTTTAGTGATGTCACCCACTTAGTCCTTTGTATTGTATAATCATAATGAAATAAAAAAGTGTGTCAAAAGCCTAAGCCACCATTTTTTTTTTGTTGCTCATTTCACTTGGTCTATATTTAGAATTGGAGAATATTTTTATATGCATGAATTGAGAAAAATGGGAAATGTGCAAAACTTTTAAGTCATTTCCTCATTGATTTTTCTATATAGAAGAGAGTGATACGTTTTCCGCATGAATATTATCTTGGAACTTTTTTAAGGAGATTCTACGTGTGGAGATTTGACTTATATAATAGGAAACTTAGTAGTTGTTCAAAGTAGCTATAAAATGAATAATAATGTAATCTAATCTTGAAATTGCATAACTTGATCTCTAAACAATAAATTAACATACGTGGAAAAGCTCTCAACCTACGTAAGCCTTCCATTTAGAAAACTAACCACATGTAAGCCATTTGTTTTTCAGAGCTTTTTTAACTTAGTGCAGCATAAAGATTAAAAGAGTTCTCATTTTTTTTAATTAATGTACCTTGATCTTATTACTTAGTCAAACTATGAATAGGAAACACATACAATGATACGCATTTAAATGATGGCTATTAATTTGGTGTCATGTACTTCCTAAAACATGAAAAGTCATGTTCTACCTAAAGGGTTAAAAGAATTTATTTACCTCTATGTTGTTTTTTTAGGTCTTGAATGAATATCAAAAATGTCTTTCATTTTCATATATGTATTTTCGAATAGATTTTTATTTAACAAAAATTTATGAAAAATGTATTTTTAAATATGTATATTTAAATAAATTTTATTTTTTTACGAAAAAATAGTTTTGAGTATATATTTTTAAATTTTATTCTGTTATAAAAATTTAAAAATATAATTAAAAATCAAATAAAATTAAATTAAATCTCTATAATTTTGTTTGAATTTTTCAAAAACATAAAAACGGAAAATAAATTAATTAAAATAGAAAAACAAGGAATTTAGAGTTTTTAGAGTGTAGTCTCTATTTTGTTTCAAAATGAGGAATTTTGATCCCTGGTTTTTTTCAGAAAAATTGACACGATAAAATTTTAATCCACAATCAGTTTTTTAAAAAATTAAATTTTTTACATTAAGTCGTGTAAAGGCCAGAGACGAAGAAACGCAAAGTCTAAAATACTGAGATTGTTTAGTTACATATTATTTTGTTATAAAATATATTAATAAGTACAACTGATATACATTAATTCTAATTAAGGGTGTTCAAAATATGATTAACTGAATTATATACTTGAACCGAATTGCATTAAACCATTAAAAAAAAATAGAATCACTTAAATGATTAATAAAATGAACTATTCAATTAAAATAATTTAAATTCAATTTTTAACTGGTTTAAAACCAATTTTTTTTAATAAATTAGTTTCATTATATAAATTAATATTTAATAAAAAAATTTAGGAAAAAAATATCTAATAAATTTTTTTTCAGAAAATAAAAAATTTTATTTCTAAAAAATATATATATTTCCGAAAAGTATAAAAAAAATTTAGGAAAAAAATATTTTCCCGAAAAATAAGAAAAAACTGAAAAAAAAAATATGTTTTAGGAAAATTAAAAATAAAAATAAAAACTGAGAATAATTTTTTTCCGAAAAAAAAAACTGAAAATCAAATATTTTTCTGAAAAATAAAAAATAAATAGAAAAAAATATTTTCCAAAAATAGAAAAATTTCCTGAAAATAAAAAAAAATAAAAAATTCCGAAAAAACTATATAGTTTCTGAAAATAAAAATATTTTTTCGAAAACTAAAATATATTTTTTCAAAGAAAAAACTGAAGAAAAAAATATTTAAAAAAAGGAAAAAAAAAAAACAAATCTCCCAAAATCAACTTAAAATTAATTGAACAATTCTTTTAATAAAACAAATTTGAAACTAGTTAAAATATATTAAACTAGTTTGAAATTATAAATTAATTTGAACTAATTCTAAATTGAATGTAACTAATTTAACGGATTAACTACTTTTTATTAAAGTGGTTTTTAATAAATGCATTGAACTATTAATATGGTTCAATTCAATTCAGTTATGAATCACAAACACTCTTAATTTTAATTGATATAAATATTAAAATATTTTAAATATATATTCCCTCCGGTCTCATTTATAAGAAAAAATTAACTTTTATACATTGAATAAGTAATGTATTTGGACAATATATTGTCCAAATACATTACTTATTTAATATATCTAAAAAGTTAACTTTTTCTTATAAATGAGATCGGATAGAGTATTAAAAAACTCTTTAAAATAAAATATTGAGATATTTCGAATATGTATATCCAAAAATCTTTAAAATTAAATATGAATTGTGTTCGGATATACACATTCGAATGATATTTTCAGATTTCTAAAAGCTTAACTCAACATATAGAGGTAGTCAAAGATATTCTCCGATATTAAAGACCTATATCCAAAACAAATCAAATGGGCTTGAAGTGTAACTTTACCTTGCACGGTCTCAATTAAATTTGACACCCCCACCTTTTTTCAAATATCAAAAATACTCATTTCATATTTCATTAATGACATGTTAAAAAAAATTCTTAGATACAAAAAATTTGGTATAGGTTTTTTTTATCGAATTATCTAAAATATCTGAAGCATATAAAAAGTTTTATCGATTTCAAAAGTATACCAAATATTTTCCCACACCTCTTAAAATTCTGATAGCGTTATTTTTTAATAATCACATCCCTCCATACAAAAATTGATTTTTAAGATTTTTAAAAATATTCGGTGACACTCTTGCACATACAGACAATTCTAAAAATTCAGATTTTTTATCAACAATTTTCAAATTATCAATATACTTGTATGAGTTTATATCAGCAATTTTCGAATTACCAGTATGCATATATGTATTTTCAAAATTGCCGTAAAAATTCATATCAAAATACCACATATTTCTAAATTTCCCATAAAAATTCAAACAAAATTTTAGAATTTATGGGACATTTCTAAAACGCAGGTATATAAATCCATAATTTTGGTAACAGCAATGTCAAAAGTTGGGTAAAAAATCATGATTATACTAAATATCCAGTATTCTATCAAAATTGCTTATAATTATTGGTAACCTACGGGTGTCATGTGCAATTGATAGGGGTGAGTGCAAGGTGAAATTCCCCCGAATTTCTCTTGAAGTAGGCCCACTTCAAGAGGCACAAGTTGAAACAAGCATGCAGTAAAAAGCTGATATCCAACTTACCGTGTACCAATAAAAAACAAAACAAAAGCTGCTAGCAAGACTAGGAAGGACCACAATAAATTATTTCGATAAATACTCTCGTACTCTCTGAGCTTTGTTTGATATCAAACACTCAATCAATTGATTCTCCAATTATTTTAACATATACTACTGCTGCTTGTCAGTGAAGATTGAACTATGAAAAATATTTTAAACAAAACTAATGTGTATCAAGTAATATAGATAACCATAAAGGTGTTGCAGTTGTGATGCGTGAAAAACTTTATATACTGAAAACACCAACTTTTAATTATTAGATGATTTTAGTTCCAGGCTCCAGCACTACCTCAAAACATCTGGTGCAATACAGTTCAGATACCACTACACAGTTCCATAAAGTCAGTAAATTGTCCAAGGCATACATTTGAAGCACAAAAAGGCTTCTAGTCTCAACAAACAAACAAAAAAAGAATGGGTACACAATGGAAGACAAAAATTGCTGTAAGTCACCCGGAAGTTGGGTAACTTCAGCCCAAACAACATTAAACATCACTAGTTGAGAACATCGTCATCTTTCTTACACAAACTCAAACCTTATGCTGCACGGTCCAGAGTCAGGAGTCCTGTAAAAAACAGAAACATGAGAAAGTTGAACAAACTACTGCTCAATGAGTTGCAATTGTTATAGAAAGCCAAGTATCGTAAGAGAGCATGCTCATATTTCTCATGAAAAGTGTTCATTCTTGTTCATACAATCATTGGAGGACTAATTTAGAGATGAGTGTAACTTCAGGGGAATAATTGAAGATTTACTCTTAACATTGCCAGCAACTTATTTTGAACCACTATGGTTCAATCTGGAACTCAAATGAAATTAAAATTTGGGCAAAGTTTCAAAGTCACGAGTTAAGGTGTGATTTTATTTCTGAAGTACCCCAACTGAGAGAGAGTGTATTCAAAATTACGTTGTTAATGAATCTCATATAGCCGCACTGAGCGTCTGTGCCAGACCCCAAAACTACTATAGAAAGATAGTCACTATTGGAGAGACAAAAAATATACAAACTAAACATAAATTCCAACAAGGTATGTAAATATTCAAAAAACAGCAAAATGCACAAAACTAGAAGAGCTTCATACTAAATAATTATAAGTTTTTTGGTCATTTGTCACAAATATCAAAAATTAAAACACAATAACTTAATTACTAATTAAAGTTCTAAAAGTAATCAATATGACATTGTTCAGATGAGATCAGTGTTTCAGATGATGATGTCATTGTTCCAGCAGAGAACCCAAAGATCAGAGAATAACGCAAAAACTTCGCTGAAGGAAGGAGAAGCAAGAGAAAGAGAGGGCTTTGCACACACATGTGAAGTAGATATAGAGGGCTTCACAAGCACACAAAAGAAGAAATAGAGGGCTTCACGCGCAGAAACAGAGAAAACACATTGAGAAGACGAGTAAAGCAGGGTTTCGGGAAAATGAATGAAGAAGAAAATAGCAGGTCTTTCAAAAATAAAAAAGATTAAAATAATAGGTCACTCACTTAATACACGTCGAATACCCTTAATAGATAAACATAACAGTTAAAAAAGAAGGGGTGCTTGAGAGATTTCCCCCTGAAACCTTAATTGCTGACAGGAAATATAGGAAAGGCCTGCGAATGAGACGTGAAAATGAAGTGATATACAGCCGTGGAGGCTGAACCAGTTGCAGCAGACATTGCCTTTGCACCGCGAATCCACTATCGCATGCTATAGCATAAAAATTGACAACAGAGATTCAAAACTAGTAGTTGATGACTGGACCTGAATAACAGTTGCAAAGAGATGCAAAAGGCCAGAGGTCACTCATTGTCAATTCCCACCACCAATAGGTTTGTTAACATTAAAATTTAGAGAATGTAATGCATTCAGAAGTAGCAAGAGGGAAATGTAACTTTTCGAGATAGAGGGGAGAAGAGCGTAATTGCAGTATCCATAAGAGAGAGGCATATAATTTACCCTCAAACACATGATGAATGTTTCTTGTAACCATAAATAATTAGATCAGCCAAAATGCATTCAGCTGCTTTATGTAAACCTAAGTATCACCTAAATACTCTGACAAAGTTACACCACATTTTAAAGTTCCCTTCCTTTTAAAAAACAAACTTAATATACATCGTGACTCTGATGTTATTGGTTCTAGTGGAAAGAGCCTTTTAGCTTATGTGAGAAAGCTACAAACATCTAACACTTCATTCACCCCCACAACGATGGGGTTCTTATGGCGTAGGCTCTATATTTTTTTTCTATCCTGCTTCTAATTTTACTTTCCAACAAGAGCAACAAACAGCAACCCATGTTTTTTTTCCCCGCTATCACCTAAAAAGAAGTACTCCCTCCATTTCAAAATAATGGTCGTCTATCAAATAAAATTTGTTTCAAAATAAATATCATTCTCATTTTTCAAAGTAGAAATGATTCTTATTTTTTCAATTGTGTACTTTAGATATTACTCTATACACTACTTTAACACATTAGTAAGGTTAATTTAGTAAAAGTTAATTTAGTAAAATTGTAATGTCTTATGCAGTGTATGCAAGATCGTGAGTTGACTCGCGAACTCGCCCGAGTTGACATTCCAATTGCATGCCGGCATGCGGAATCACATGTAAGATCGTATGGAGAAGCTCGGTAAACTTGCCCGAGTTGGAAATCTGACTCGTTTACATTATTGCAGATGCGACGCTTCTGTTTTAAGGGTTTTTTTAGAAAAACTCCTAATTTTCTAAAATGGGTCTGGATCAGGTCGGGTGTTATTAAATACTGATTTATTATTTTTGTTTTAAAATAGAAATTCATTAATCTGTGTGAAAAAACCTTAAATGACACTCATTTTGAAACAAATGGAGTAACATGAAGGCTCTTTAAGGGGTAAAAAAGGTATTTAATCCTTCAAATATCTGATCAATTGAAACAAAATTGATATACATGTTATATGAAATTTTGAGCTAATTTTTCTTAAATATATGAACAGAAGAATCACAACTGTTACGCTAGCAAAAACCTCTTCTGATGGCAATACAATTCATGATTGCTTATTATGAAGTTAAAGCTCCTAATTGTGAACGCAGATTACCCAACTAACAGGTTTTGCAAGTATATAGTTTATTGAGTAATGTATTACAGCCTGGATCCTAAAAGAAGTAGACTCCACGCCAATGTTGTCCATGGCGGATGGCGGTCCATGGCCGCGAGCCCAAATCCTGCCATATCGGCCGCTTTGCAACGCCACTATTGCGGATTATGGCAGAAAAACGCGCAATAGCGGCCGATATTTACCTTTGCGGCGAGGCCAAAAACCGCCATGTATATCCGCCATAGCGGGCCAATTTGATAACACTGTTCCACACACCCTATAAAAAAGCAAGCAGCAAGAATAGCAAGCCATCTTCTTCTCCTGTCTCAAGTAGGTTTTAAAAAACCATCCGTTACCGCAAAAACAGCCGCGATAAAACCAGCAAGTGCCGATACCGATACCTTATTCATTGTTTTTAGGTTAAGGAACAAATTGTGATTAATTCACATTGTGACAACCGCAATCAATGTCGCAACACATGTACTGACTAAAATCATGAATGCCTTTCCACGAATGCAACCGTTATTTAAAACGGTCAACTATTCAATAATGCGGAGTTCTTATATCTAATAGCTTATAGGCTATGCAATGTTATGAACATTCCAATTCCAATATACTCCACTATCCACCTAATCCTCTAAAAGTTCAACAGAGAACCCAATGGCCAATATTTTCAGTAATATATCATCACAGAATTTAGTTTTCAATAATCTCAAAACATGAATATCACTGCAAGCTCTCCAACCACAACAATATGCATCCAAACGAAGAGAATAGTAAACAACAAAAAAACCAACAAGAACTAATCTAACAACACAATAACAATACATTATGTAATACCTCACTAACCTCTGCAAAATCTAAGCATCATTGGCCTGCGCCTCCAGAAATGTTCACCCCGGAGTAAGCAGGTCGCCGGCGAGTCCTGGAGGGAAGAATGTTATCCAAATCCACCTCCGCCAGTGGATCATCAGAAAAATCACTGTCACTACCAGACACATTGCCATCGGAATCATCATCACTGTCATCACTGTCGTCACTGTCATCCTCTTCGTCGTCATCATCTTCTTCAATCAATTTCCCTTTTCCCTTGTCGTCCCGGAAAATCCCTTTCCCCTTCCGGTCCACCACACGCTCTACATCAGAATCATCCTCTTCGTCTTCATCATCGTCGTCGTCAGTGTCGTTTTCGGGTTCATTGTCGTCGTCCCCATCGTCGCCGCCGGATTCTTTGACGGGAGCGACGTCGGGTTCGGAAGAAGAATTGGTGGTGGTGGGAACTTCGGATTCATGGGAATTGTTGTCGTCTAAGGTGGTTGTTGTCTTGGGGTTTTTGTTCGGAAAATCGTGGGTGTCTTCTTGGTCGGGCTTGCGCTTGGAGGGGAATGTGGGTTCTTCATGGTTGTTGGTTTCAGGGTCAGACATGAGTGAGGGTTTAGAAGATTTGTCTCTTTCTGGTGTTAGGGTTTTGTGGGGGAGAAGTAGTTGGGAGAATCTGAATAGTCAAGAAAATGATCGTGGTTTTTTTTTTGTTATTTTATTTTATTTATATGAAATAAATTTAACAATAGTAATTAAATTCTCTTTAATAAAAAAAAATATTTTTATATAATTCTCAATACTAATAAGGTATTAGATTGAAGTTTTAAAAGATTATCTTTACAAAAATATCTTGAGATTTTTTAAAGGTGTGTGTAAGAAGAATAGGATAGATATTTGTATTCGACTTTAGTGGATATTATTTGTATTCGAGCTAATCTATTGTTAATAGTACTAGATGTAAGGGAACCTCTAAGTCTACTCTCATCCATTAAATAAGTTTATGGATTGGTTTTGACTCAATGGAATTTGAATTGGATGCTAAAAATATTGTGGGTTATGTGATTAATTAACAATCAAATGATTTTTGATCTTATCTGATCAGAATGGACTGTCACAGCTTGCTCGAGTAGAATTTGATAGTGAGGTAGAGGGATACCTGCAAGACATTCTGATGACAAAGTAAGTTCCGGAATGAGCAAACAAGCAAGTGAGTCAGAAGTGTTCAATACCCGACCCTCTCGTAAGAGAGGATATTTATAGCCCCCAGCACTGGGCCAAGGTCTCCTCATTGGGCTGGTCAATGAGGCCTAACATGGAGATTGTCAGGTCCTACGTGAGTAGTAGGGACCCGCACATGATCCCCTACCTGGATGACTTCCTCCGCAAGATCAGGAGGACATGGAAGCGATCTTTCCGGGGCCACGAAGACTCAGTGATACTCTGAGCCATTGATAGTCAGCCCTACGAGGAGTATGCTCGTGAGGTATTTTTGCTCGTCGTGGATACTCCCACTGACCGTGAGATCGTGTGATAGGACCATTATTGGTCGATGAGAGGATTGGAGAGTGACATTGAGGTTCTCCTAATCGGTGGTGATCTTCCCGAGGGTAACTGGGTTCGTCCGCGTGCAGCGAGGTCGTTCCCTCGCGGAGTGTAGTTTTTGCCTGACTCAATCGCGGGCAGAACTGTCCAACATGCTTTAAACGACATAATTGGATTGGGCCTCACATAGAGTTGGGCCAAGGGCAGACCCAGTCCAGAATAATTTTGATTTGGGTGACATCACTCTTGAATGTAAATGCTTATTGGCTACTTTATTTAGGAACTCTCGTGTTAAGTTCGTTATGAGACAAATTAATGAGGTTGCTCATACCTTGACATTGATGACTCTATCTCTTGCTAGTTTTCACAATTTTATCAATACTTTGACATGTATTCATAATCTTATCAGTAATGAAATGATATAAGTCCTTTCTCGTAAAAAAAAGAAGGTGTAACATTGATTGAATAATAATAATGTGTAATATTTTAATACAAAATTCAATTATGATTCACTAAAATTTCAACTTAACTTTGTTATTTCTTTCCTTATTATTTCCTCTTCTTTGATTGAGATTTTAAAAGATTATTTTCTTTCATAATTTTTATGTGTGGATTTTCAAGCATATTGTATGAATTTAATGGTTAGGAAACAAGTCTAGTATGAATCATCTAAAAGTGTTTGAATTAATAATTTATAAGCAACTGAGGAGAAAATTTGATAAAAGATCAAATGATACTTGTAATGTAAGGTGGATAACAATTGTGTTTGTCAAGCAATTTGGTTTGATGAGCTTGATTGAAGAAATCAATAATGAAAAGGATAGAAATATACTATTAGAATTGATGATTTGAATGCATTAAGTTTGAGTAGAAAAATCATTAAACATGAAAGAAGTAAGCACGTATAAATGAGATTTCAATACTTGAAACAAGAAACAAGTAAAGGAATGTAAAATTTGGAGCATTGCAAAAGTAATATTTATGGATTATAATTTAGTAA